AGAAGAAGAAGAAGAAGAAGAAGAAGAAGAATATGAATAATAAAATAGCAGTAACTCTCTATCAATAATCACTTTAAAAGTCAATGGATAAAGTACACAATCTGTGGACATAGGGTGTCTGAGTGGATGAGAAAACATTTTCTAAAGACATTACCAAGCAAATGCTAATACAATTTGAGCCAGCGATTTTACTTCTAGGACTTAGTTTTATATTTCCGTAGGGTAAGTACAGGAATTTGTGTTGCAGTATTGTGCTAGAAAATATAGAAAATTCTCCAAATATTGACCGTCAGGAGAATAGTTAAGAAGTGACAGATGATAGAGAGCACACGGAAGCTACACAAATGTGAAGAAACCCGTTGTTGATACAGTACATTTCCTAATATTTATCATTAAGTGAAAGCAGCAGAGTTAAGAATGTATAATGTTAACATCTGTGTAAAGGAAATAATTGCTCAGATAAGCACAGAATGCATGTGGAAAGAATAGGGTATAATTGAACGTATCAGTTTTGTCTAGAGAAGGAAACTGTTGGTAAGGAGACATGAATGGTAATAATTTTTACTATATTTCTTCTTCCGTCTCCTACAGTTCGAACATGTGGGTTTTGCACCCATTCAAAAATGTTTTGTTCATAAGAAGTAGTAGAATAAGTAAAAAAATAACTGAGAAATCAAACGAAAAATGACCTAAGAAAGAATGATTCAAAAAATGCATAAATAAATCCATCGGTCTAGAGATGTAAGGTGGCTGAGTGGATAAGAAAACCAGGCAAATGGACCCCCCCCCCCCCCACACACACACACATGCTGGGGTAGTGATGTCTAGACAAAATAGACTTTGAAACAAAAGCTGTAACAAGAGGCAAAGAAGGACCCAGCAATTCCACTTCTAGGTATCTATCTAAAGAAACCCGAAACACAAATTTAAAAAGACATGTGCATTTCTATGTTTATTGCAGCATTGTCTGCAATAGTCAAGACATGCAGGCAACCTAAGTGTCCATCGATAGACACATTAATAAAGAAAACATGTCCATATATTAAAGGGAATGTTACTTAGCCATAAAAGAAATTGAAATCTTACCATTTACAGCAACCTGAGTGGACCTAGAGGGTATAAAGCTAATTAAAATGTTGGCAGAGAAAGATAAATACCATGTGACTTCACTTATCGGTGGAATCTCAAAAGCAAACTATATGAACAAACAAAACAGAAAAAAACTCATAGATACAGGGGACGTTTTGATGGTTTCCAGATGGGAGGGGTGTTTAGGTGGTGGTGAAAAGGGAAAATGCACAGACTGCCAGTTACAAAAGCAGGCAGGAGACAAAGTACAATATAGTCAATAACATCGTAATATCTATGCAGGGTGACAAATGGGCACTAGACTGATTGGGGTGATCACTTCATAAATTATAGACAGAATGGGGCAAAAGTAGGTTTACAGTTGTGAGCCTGTGAAACACAATTTATTCTTTTCTTATTATCTGTTGTATTATTTTCCATATGAACAACTGTAAACCTACTTTTGCCACACCCCATAAGTGCCTAATCACTATGTTGTATACCTGAAACACATATAGTACTTTATGTCAATTGTAATTGAAAAAGAAAGATTATTTAAAAAAAAAAGACCCATACATGTGCAACCAACTTAGAGACACACTGTAGATCAAAAGATATACACAGACCGAAGTAAAGGGATAGAAAAAGATATTTCCTGCGAATAAAAATAAAAAGAAACAATGTGCTAGAAATACGTATATCAGACAAAAGAGGCTTTAAAACAATGTCTGTAACAAGAGACAAAGACAGGCAGTTAGTAATGATAAAGGGATCAAACCAGAAAGGATATAATTTTTGTAAACATCAATTCACCCAATGTAGGAGCACCTAAGTATATAAAAGAAATATTGATGGACATAAAGAAGCAATCATTAGTGATTTTGTCATAGTAGGGGACTTTAACACCCCTTTTTCATCAATGGACAGATCACCCAGACAAAACATTGGCAAAGAAACATAGACCTTAAATGACACATTAGAGCAGGTGACTTTAATATATATTTTTATAACTTCCCTATCCAGGGCAGCAGAATAGTCATTCTTTCCTAGTGCACATGGAACATTCTCCAGGACAGACCACTTGTTGGGAAACACGACAAGTCTCAATATATCTAAGATGGAAATCATATCAAGCATCTTTTTCGATCACAATGCTATGAAACTAGAAATCCGATACAAGGAAAAATTAGAAAATTACACAGACAGGTGAAGATTAGATAATTAGCTACTGAACAGGGAGTAGATTAACAGTGAGATCAAGGAAGAATAAAAGAGACCTTGATACAAATGAAAATGAAAACGCGGACAGAATAAAGCAGTTCTCAGCAGAAAGTTCAGAGCAAGGCAGGCCTACCTCAAACAAAAATCTCAAATAAAATATCTAACCTTATACCTGAAGGAATTAGAAAAAGAAGAATAAAATGAGTAGAAAAAAGGAAATAAATGTCAGAATGAAAATACATTAAATAGCATTAAAAAAAAGGGAATAATAAATCAATGAAACTAAGATCTGGCTCTTTGAAAACATAAACAGAGTGGATGTACTTTTAACCAGGCTCATCAAGAAGAAAAGAGAAAGAAGTGAAATAAATAAAATTAGAAATAAAAGAGGAGAGGTGACCACTCTCACTACAGAAATAAACAAAATGAAGCATAGCCCTGGCCGGTTTGGCTCAGCGGTTAGAGCGTCGGCCTGCGGTCCTGAGAGACCCGGGTTCGGTTCCCGCTAAGGGCACAGACCTCGGTTGCAGTTTGTCCCCGGCCCTGGTCGGTCTTGCGGATGGCAGCCACTCGATGTGTTCCTTCACGTCGATGTTTCTCTCTCTCTCTCTGTTCCTCTCTCCCTCCCACTCTACCTGAACAAAAAAAAAATGGGAAAATGTCCTCGGGTGAGGATAAAAAAAAAACACAAAATGAAGCATAAAAATCATACGATTATATCAATAGATCCAGGAAAACATTTGACAAAATCCAACATCCATTTATGGTAAAAACTGTCACAAAGAGAAAGAGAGGGTGCATACCTCAACAAAGTAAAGGCCACATGTGACAAATCCATAGCTGATGAGCAAAACAGACCCAGAGACATAGAAAGGAGTAGGGTTCAGACTGACAAACCCCAGAGGAGGGAGGTGGGGTGGGGGGAGGATGGATGACATGAACCAAAGAACTTATATGCACGTGTGTGTGACCAGCGGACAGCGACGACAATGCCTGGGGTAGCAGGAGGTGGGATAGGGAGAAGGGTGTCCGCGGGGGGGAAGGAGAAACATCTGTAACAAAAATAAATTAATTTTTAAAATGTTTAAAAAGATATAAACAATAAAAAAAAAAAGGAAAAACAAAAATTTGCAGCAAACATGAAAAGACATTTCTCCAAAAACATGCATATGGCCCACGGGCTCATCACTGATTCTCAGGGAAATGCCAGTCAAACCCACGATGAGATAACACCTCACACAGGTTCGAATGGCTATGGTCAAAGTAAACAGAACGTGTTGTCAAGGACGCTGAGTGACAGGGACACATGTGCACTGTTGTTGAGACAGCAGACTGGGGTGGCCTCTCTGGAAAGCAATGTGGAGTTTCCTCGGAAAGTTAGAAACAAATGGCCATATGCCCCAGCAATTCCACTTCTGGGTGATTATCTGAGGAAATCTGAAACATTAATTCAGAAATACATATGCAGCCCTATTTTTACTTCAGCATTAGTTACAATAGCCAAGGTATGGAAGCAACCCTAGTGTTCATCGATAGGCAAAGGGATAAAGATGTAGTACATACACAGTGAAATATTACTCAGCCGTGAAAAATAATAAAATTTTACCATTGTGGCAACATGGATGCACCTAGAGGGGATTGTGCTATGTGAAATGAATGAGGCAGAGAAAAGCAAAAACTGTGTGGTTTCACTTAAATGTGGGATCTAAAAACAACAACAATAACAAACAAATGAACAAAAAAGTCAAAACAAAAACAGATCCGTGGAAACAGAGAACAAACAGTTACCAGAAGGAAGGGAGCAGGAGCTTGGGTAAAAATGGTGAAGGAGAATGTACTCAATAATATCATGACAGGTCTGCACAGTGACAGATAATTCCTAGAATTATTGGGGTAATCGTATTGTAAGGTGCAGAAATGTTAAATCACTATATGGTACACCTGAAACTAAACAACAAATATAATATTGTATGTCAACTATACTTAAATAAAAAATGTTAATGGCCAGAGGATCTGAATAGACACTTCTGCAAAGAAAACATACACATGACCAATAGACGTATGAAAAGATGCTCAAAGACGCTCATTATCAGAGAAATGCGAATTAAAACCACAAGGAGATATTGCCTCACTCCTGTCAGAATGGCTATTATCAATAAATCAACTAGCAACAAGTGTTGGTGAGGATGTGGAGAAACAGAAAACTCACGGATACAGAGTACAAACCGACGGTGGCTGGATGGAAGGGGGTTGAGGGGTTGGGTGAGAAAATGGGGGGCTTAAGAAGTATAAATTGACAGTTACAAAATAGTCACAGGGATACAAGTATAGTGTAGGGAACATAGTCAATGATACTGTAACTGCATGGTGTCCGGTGGGTGGTAGACCTATGGCGGGAATCACTTTGTAAGTTATGTGCATTCTGACCATTCTGCTGTGCACTTGAAGCTAATAGGATATTGAATATCAACTGTAACTGAAAACTCTTTCTTTTTCCCTTGGGGTTAATGCTTTGACCCAAACACTGAACGAGGCACATATTCAAAGTTAAACATTTCGTCTTATGTTTTACTACCAGAGCATCTTTTCAAATAAAACTAAATTGTCACATTTTACGGTTATTTGTACTTGCACCAAACTAATAGGAGAGCACTCTGAACTCGCAACACTGGAATTCCTACAGCAATTCTTACTTTTCTTCTTGCTTAAAGGACAAAGCTCAGCCAGAGACGCAGGTCACCAGTTTTGGGAATATCCTGTTTAATGCCAAACTGGCGGAGGACGACCCGGAAGCTGTTGTCCTAGTGAATCAGCCCGGTTCCGATGGATTTAAAGTGGACTCAACACCGCTGTTTCAGGTAGGCCAACGGCAAGCTAGTGGCAGTAGCTCCATAACCACGTGCAAGTTCCCGGACCTGTAAATGCCTCCGATGTCCCGGGTATAAAGGGCAGGAGTAGTGATACGGCGTTTGGTTCGTGGGAACATTGAAGAGTGAATGGGAAGGACAGCCAGCCACACTGTGCACACGGGAGCTGGTGTTACTTTTATTAATGTGTTACTGATCTTTAAGTCAAGGTGAAATGAAGATCTTGATTCAGACCCGACTAAATATACATCTGATGGGGAAACCTCTGCTTTCCCTATGCCAAATGGCCTTTCCGTCGACTTTCCATGGCCGTTTCTATGGGAGTGATCTGTGGGGGTGGCTGGACTCAGCCCAGCAGGGTGCACAGAAACCTGGGCTCCCCAGACTTCGCACGCCGAGGTAGAAAATTGTACCTGCAGGTAGAGAGGCAGTAGAAACAGACACCGGAGACCACACTACACAGAGCAGAGCAAGCAGACCGATTCGGAGACGTGCTTGCATTATGAATCCTTGGAGAAGCAAGAACACTTTTTAGGGTATTTACTGAAAATTGTTCAGACAGTGGGTTGGGGAAATGTGTTGTCCTTGTTCAACCTAAAGAGAGAATCCTAAGGAAACACGTTTTTATTCTGAAGCAGGTGACCCTATTTTTGCTTCCATTCTTGCTGTTGACTCTGCAAGGGTATGACCTGTCCTGACCCCTGAAAATCCCTGCTTTTCAAGGCCTGGAAAAGCAGAAAACTTTTCTACGGTCTTCTATGTAAAAAAAATTTTTTTTAATTTTCTTTATTGATTTTAGAGAAAGCAGAAGGAAGAGAGAGAGAGAGAGATTGATGAGAGAGAACATCGAGTGGCCTCCTCCTGCACGCCCCCCACTGGGGATCAGACCCACAACCTGGGCATGTGTCCTGACCCGGAATTGAACCAGCGACCTCTTGGTGCCTGGGTCAGCGCTCAGCCACTGAGCCACACCAGCTGGGCAGGTCTTGTATGTAAATATGTGGCAAGACAAATTAGAAAAGAATCCTGAGCTCCAAAAGGTCTGAATTCTAGTCCTACCTCTGCCACTTACTAGTTGAGTGGCATTAGGCAGTTACTCTCTGCTATGTCTTCTTAGTAGGTTTGTATCTGCAGTTCTTGGCAGCTCCGACACCCTGTGACTACAGGTCCTAGATTACCGGAATTCAGCAGCACGTGCTCCCTGAATTGTCACACAAAATACTCCAGGGCGCTGGGAGGGCCCCGCACACACTGCACGCGCAACAGCGACGAGTGTATGAATTGTGTGGACGAAGCTGCCTTAGCATTTATTGCCTCAGCCATTAGTCTCTCTCGCACATAGCCCTGGACTTGGGGGGCATGGTCTCAATGTTCAAAGAAACAATGCTGTGCTCTTCAGGTCGCCGTGGGCCGAGAATGGTACGTCCACACCATCTACACGGTGAGAGCGAAAGAAGGCACCAGCAGAAGCATCGGCAAAAGGAGCGTGGGGGGCCGGTACCACTCGGTGCGGAGTCCCAGGGAGCCCGGGGCACCCAGCCAGAGCAGGAGGAAGCGGACGGCCGGGGGCCCCCCGCCACCGGTGTGGGAGATCGGGGCAGAAAGCAGCCGGGGCACCAATATCCAGCACGTCTGCCTGGACCGAACCGACGAGAAGCAGGTCCCCAGAGGGAGAGCCCCTCCAGACAGCGCCCCCCCCTCGGGACTCGACAGCCCTGGCTCCGAGCCCAGCCTGGCCGCGGTCATGGGGGGCGTGGCCGTGGGCCTCCTCGCCCTGGGCCTGGTGGCCGTGGTGGCAGTGATGTGCCAGGGCCGGGGGCGCGCGGGCGCCACCAAGGGCTCGGGCGGCGGCCCCTCGACGGCCCCGCAGAGCGGCCATGGCGACAGCTCAGAGGTGTGATGACCGGGGGTGAAAGTCGACCTTCTCCTCAGGTGCCCCGGCTGCAAACAACACACACCCACAAGCCCGTGCGAACGGCAGAGACCTGGGGACTTCTGTGATGAAGCCGTTTCGAAGACCCCGCGGTGCTCATGGACTTTGATTTGAATTCTGCCGACTCCGTCACCCATCAAAGAAAAATTCAGACCACAGACCACGACTGTCCTCTTGCCCAGAAAGCTGCCCGGGATGGACAGCCAGGAGTGTCCTTCTGTGTCTGCGTGTCCTCCGTAGGGCGCAGACCAGGTGCTCGGAGGTGCTGCAGACTCAGAACTTCCAGTGTCTGTTGTCGCTATATCCGAACTCGAAGGTGCAATTACACATTGTTTCTTGGTTGTGTAACATTGTATCACTGGACCGGTTTTAATGGTAGTCAGAGAATAATAAACACTGTTTTCATGACACGTTTTCTCATAGGTGAAGACAGAATAGAATTGTGACCCGGGTAACTCAACCCACAGATCACCTTTTCTACCACTTGGGAGGGAATAGAAGGAACAATAAAGGGACAGTAAATCACTCACTTGGATTTGAATTGTTTCTCATCCTCCTCAGACCCTCCTTGTTTAAGGTGCCTATTTAATTTTCAAGTGAGCGAAAGAATGTGTTATGTCTAGAAGAGACAGTTGGAGAGAGACTGCTCTGTTTTGGTAGAAGGTGGAAAACAGTCGAGTTCGCGCATTAAAATACACCGTATTGGCGCTCAATATTTGTGGAAAATGAGAAGGTTGGTGGCACGTTGATGATAAAGAAGTGCCATAGAGTTAGACTGACATTTGCCAGACAAGGTTCTCTAGGACCTGAGCCTCGACGAGTTCAGTCTTGAACCCACAAATGACCATGAGAACCACCATCGCCCGGAGGGGAAAGTGATGTTTAGCAATATCACGTTGAACCAAAGTGCTTCTTATACATTCTTTATAGAATAAAAACCAAACACGTTTTCACAGATGGTGCATGCGTTTAAACTTCAGGGTAGCATAATCGCACAACCGTGCCCATAACCCTACCTGGCCACAGGGCATCTGTCCCAAACCATGGGGTGGGGATTCTTAGAAGTCCAACCTCTTGCCCTGGCCAGTTTGGCTCAGCGGTTAAAGCGTCGGCCTGCGGTCCGGAGGGACCCGGGTTCGGTTCCCGCTAAGGGCACGTACTTCGGTTGCAGTTTGTCCCCGGCCCTGGTTGGTCGTGCGGGTGGCAGCCACTCGATGTGTCCCTTCACGTCGATGTTTCTCTCTCTCTCTCTCTTCCTCTCTCTCCCTCCCACTCTATCCGTACAAAAAAAAAAAAAAAAAATGGGAAAGTGTCCTCCGGTGAGGATAAAAAAAAAAAAAAAAAAAGAAGTCCAACCTCTTCACGTCGGAGAAGCACATTTTCCTGGTGACTGTGAACACCAACCATCGCTTGACTGGGCAGCACACAACTTCACATCCAAAGTCTTTTTTTTATCCTCACCCGAGGACATTTTTCTATTTTTCTTGCTGTTGTTGTTGTTGTTCAGGTAGAGTGGGAGGGAGAGAGAGAGAGAGAAACATCGATGTGAAGGGACACATCGAGTGGCTGCCACCCACACAACCCAACCAGGGCCGGGGACAAACTGCAACCGAGATACATGCCCTTAGCGGGAACCGAACCCGGGTCTCTCCAGACCGCAGGCCGACGCTCCAACCACTGAGCCAAACTGGCCAGGGCCACATCCAAAATATTTTTAAAGAACAAAGTAGAGCAGCGATTTTTAACCGGTGTGCCGCACGAATTTTTGAAACAGTCAATACCTGACTGTTTAGTCAGGGGCATGACCTCTTTTCCCTCAGATCATCAAATAAAAAATTGCCAACAGCCAACACGACAATAACCATCCGGTGTGAATACATAAAAATTATACCTATTTTTTGTCACATCGACAAAAACTATAGTTTTGGGTGTGCTGCAGAATTTTAGTAATGAGTTTGTGTGCCATGAGATGGCAAAAAAGCTTGAAAATCGCTGGAGTGGACTGTAGTCTCCTTTTGTGGAGTAATTTATAAATATCACCTGCCACTCACAGATCCCCACAGGGATTCCATAAATAGAAAGTACTACATAGCCCAGGAGTTAGCTTTTCAAATAAATATTGATAATTCCTTAATTATCCCCTTGTCCTTTGCTTTGTCTTCTGACAAACAGTTAGTACTCCTTTGGCTACCGCATCACTTGGTGGGATGGCGGAGTTCAGCCGTTGCAAACAGCGCATGGACTTCGTACTACTGAGCCCGGAATTCGATGTCTGCACACTGTTACGGGAGGTGCTCTCAACGGACGTACTGTTATTTTATAATTAAGATGCTTCAGAGCCTGACTATCATGTTCTTCATTGTTTTTAGAGAGAAAGGAAGGGAGAGGGAGAGAGAGATAGAAACATCGATGAGAGAGAACATTGACTGGCACCTCCTGCACGCCCCCCACTGGGGATCAGGCCCACAACCTGGGCATGTGCCCTGACCTGGAATCAAACCCGTGACCTCTTGGTGCAGGGTCGATGCTCAGCCACTGAGCCACACCAGCCAGGCAGTTGCTATAGCTTTCTTAAGTACAAAGTGCTTGGATTTCTGCATTATTTTTTTAATACCTCTTTACTTAATATGTGATTTAATATACATTAATCATAAAATCTCTCTTTAGTGGAAAAAAGTATCAGACAAAATACTTCATTACTCAATAAAACAGACCCTCATTTTTTCTCGATTACAGTTTACATGAAGTATTGTTTTATAGGAGTTTCAGGTGTACAGCATAATGGTTAGACAATCCTATTCTTTACAAAGGGATCGCTTGGACATTTCCAGTATCTGCCTGGCGTTATGCATAGTTATTACAATATTATTGACTATATTCCCTGGGTTATTTACATCCTCACGCCCTTCTGTTTAATTATTGTGACACTACCAGGACATACCCACAGAATGACTTCTCACAGAGAACATGGCGTTAGCAATAAAACGCCTTAATTGCTCAGTAGCGTCTGACCCTAGTTAAAACGAGGTCTCGTTGATTCGTCTAGCGAACTCGAAGCTAAACGTTGAACATGAGTGACTCTCCTGACATACGAACCATGAAGCATTAGAATACATAAGCATGCTTGGATGCTGGTTCTACTTATTTCCGGTTATTTCTCTGGTTAACACGGAATGTTCAGCTCGTGTGACCTCCCTTGAGAGATCACACAGAACCAAGCCACCGCCCCGCCCTCGGCAGATTATCATCACAGGCGTCCCTTTCTTTGGACTGCAGAGATTGAGATATGATTAGATTTTCTCCTGCACCAAGGAGACACCAAACTGTTTTAAAATGTCTCTCGAGCGCTTGAAAAGCCCCCCATGGTGTGGATTATTCTGATCACAGACCCGACACAAAACGTTTCCCATCAGCGATCTAGTGGACGCTTCCTTGCTGACCCACAGAGCGGACACAGCGGCGCGGGTGTCTCCGAGTGTCCTTTCCCTCTGGGTGGGAAACAGGCCCACTTTATTCTAGGAATGAGATCTGACAGCCAAGCATGGGCCGACGCTTAGCCCCGGAGCGACACCAGCCAGGCTCCTTCCAGCCCTCGAACATGATCAGAACCTCCAGAACCTTCTCAGGGCGCCCACAGTTCGAACAGTGTCAGTAGAGTCAGCAGGCACCCCCCGCCCTGGGCAGCACCCGCGACCAGGCCCGGCTCCGGGCTCCGTCTGTGGGGATAGTTCTGTCGACAGCAGAACAGCTTGTGCATCACGTCCTCCTGCCCGTCATTCTGGCCCGGGCACCGTCTCCCAGGTCGGCTTTGCCAACGGAAATGGACCGAGGTGAAAGCCACAGAGAGGTCTCCTCGTAGAAATCAGTGCTAAGAGCGAAAATAATCCCAGATTGAGAAGCGTTCAAGGGACAATAACAAAGCAAAATCGAATGGCATTTAGATTTTAAAAGCTGGACATTTGATTTCTGCTACTATGTTGAGATATTAATTTAGTGTTGAGTTAGAAACAAATGTAGTCTTCTAATAAGATAAAGAAAAAATATTTTTAAAGATGTATAGGTTTTACAAATTTTAAATTTACCTACTTTTATTCATTTGAAAACAAACACGCGATGATTCTTTGAAACGCATTGTTTTCTGTCCGTGATCACAATAAAAAGAAAAGCAAGAAAGAAAACAAGTGTCTTTACGAACCATCTGTCAAATGTACGGGACACATATGTTCACTCTGTCCAACTGGCCACAGCTTAGACAAGCGTCACTGGGCAGGACACTGTATTTTTTTGTTTGTTTAATTTTTTTCTTTATTAATCTTTAGAGAGAGAGAAAGGGAGAGGGAGAGAGAGATAGAAACTTCGATGAGAGAGAACATCGACTGGCCGCCTCCTGCAGGCCCCCCACTGGGATCAGCCCACAACCTGGGCATGTGCCCTGACCAGGAATCGAACCAGCGACCTCCTGGTGCAGGGTCGACGCTCAACCACTGAGCCACACCAGCCGGGCGAGCAGGACACTATACACACTACTGTTATCACACACATACACACACACAGAAATACACGTGTATATAAAAATAACCAAACATCTTATTTTTATTTTTTTAAAAAATGACCCTAAAAACGTAGTTTTCATTGAAATGGCTCATATGAAGATTTTTTAAAGCGGTCAACATACTGGTGAAAACATACTTTCATGGGTGTTTCTTTAACATTAGTTCGAAGGTTAATACATTTTCTTAAGTTTTTCCTAGAACTGATTTCAGTATTGCATAGTAATGACATAAAATGTTTCAGAAACTAGGATCCACAGGTTCAAAGTACCCTTTACTCTCTATTTCTTCTTCTTTCCACATCCTTTAAGGTTGAAAACAAAAGGCTTTGAGATGTGAGTAGTTATTTTCATTTTGATAAGAACTTTTAAAATAGAGTGCATGGTATTTTCCTACAGTATTGAATAGAAAGATAAC